TGAACAATGAAGATGGGCTTTTAGGACACCTCAGAGGTTTTGGTTTATGTTTTGAAGTAACTGGCAAGAGAAGACTTGAGATTTTAAGTATTTTATATTCTTCCATTATAAGAATATTAGTGTAGTATTGGAATTATTTTAATTTATAATTTATTGGGCTCATATTTATACCCAAAAAGTAAAAAGTGCATTCCAAACACAGAGAAAGGCAGACATAAACCCTGCCCTGAAAAATGTGTGTTATATACCTGGCGGTATACCAAGGGCAGAATTGGGGAGGATTCTAAGCACCTTTTAGTCCGAAAAACATACTGTCTGTCAAATCATTTGTGGCTGAAACCTAGTTGGCTTGTGTGTACAAACTAAGAATCTGGTATCCCCAATAGATAGCTAAGAACATCAACATGCAGACTTAGTAATCTGTGACTTTGGACAGCTTCTTGCAATTTTTATTAGAAACAAAAAGCAAAGATTTTGTAGAGTGATACCTTTTTTTCTTTAGTGCTTTTTTTTTTTTTTTTGCGGTAACATTGTAAAAACGGCAACACTAAGGTTAACGGTATGGTTGGGGGTGCTGTGTATTAGAACGGGGGGAACGCAATTAAAAAATGACTCACATTACTTGATTTCATAATTGACAGAATATTTATTTAACTTGCAGTAAATTGACACACCTCTAGACAGAGACAATTATGACTGACTATATAACATCTGACAGAACCAATTATGACTGACTGTTGTTTGCTACCTTTGCACAGAAATAAATGAAACATAGATATTTGCAACAGAGACTGCTGCCTGTGTGCATGAGCTTGCTATAATTAAAATATAATAACCAGTAGCTGATGTAAAATTTTCAGTTTCAAATGCTTTGGAATTTAGTGGGGGTTTTTTCATATAAAAGTATTAGATGTGATATTGTATGCGTGATCTGAGAATCCTTAACACATGTACATGACAGGGTATATTTTTGTTTGATTTTAGATAAACCAAAAATCTGAAATGTTGTTCCTGGAACAGTATTATTTCTCACACACAAAGTACGTACGTATGTACGTACGTACGTGTGTGTGTGTGTGTGTGTGTGGTTATTATCCAACAAACTCTCACTCTGATTATCTTGTTGGAGTCCAGTTGCCTAATCAGTAGATGTTAAGCCCAGAAATTTTTCACCATACTGAGGGCAAGAATAAAAGTGCTAGATCTGTGATATCAGGTTCTCTGTGCATCATTTGTATGGGAGTTAAGGGAAGGAGTGGCAAGTAGGAAATATTTAACAAATCGGTGAAACATTCCCATCTTTGCTTTGGCCATCAACACAAGTGTGTAGGTTAGATAAGTTTTAGATACCTCTTCAAAAAGAAGAGCATTCTTCACTCAGTTAAAAAGAAAAGGGCAGGGACATCAGGAGGAAACACATGGGGAATTTATTAAGAATTCTTTCTCATAGTGTCCGTCATTTTTTATTATGAGAGGTGGGACAATTTGTTTTTCTCCATCCATATGTGACAAATGGGTTTGGTTCTGAAATATTTATCAAGCGTTATTTCATTATATTACATTAGGGAATATATCCGAGTTTTCTCTTGCAAGATCAAATCACATCTTAATTTCCATTTTAAAAATGTATTTTAAAAAACTTTAAATGTCATTCCTTATTTTAATATAAAACACTGATGCTTTTTGTACAGTATATTAATTTATATTAAATTTTCACAGATAATTAACAGTTGTAAATGAATATTTGCCATTGTGTATAGACATTATATAAAAAATAGGTAATAGGCATTAAAAGTAATAGATATTAAACTATTTTCATACTTGTTCTTGAGTGCTGAAAAGCAGTTCAATTCTATGTTTATAGCTTTGTTCTCAGATGCTTTATTGATTAAATTCTCATTTAGGAAGAAAATGTGAGCTTTTATATGCATTTTTAAGTTGGATGGTATGGTAACTTGAAGGTATTGACTGACTATGTGATATACGGCGGTCACAGTTGTCTTTTACTAACAGGAGCACAGAGTGATGCTGGTTGTCATTCTTACTCTGCTGTGTGGCAGCGTAAATAGTCCCCTTTCTAACCAACCTGGTGGGAAAAGTCAATATCCCATCAGCAGAGGAGGTAAACACATCAGGAGCTGTGTCCTCTCTCATCTTCCCCTGCACTGTATTACTACAGTTCTTTAAATCTGTTCTCCCCGGTCATCAGATGCACTTGTGTCATTCAAATGCATAGTATTGCTGTACTGCAGAGAGAAATGCAGTCTGAATGTAGTGGTGTGACATTGTATTTTATAATTAAGACTTAAAATTATCCTCACACTAAGTTAATGCAGTCACTTTTATTTCTCCTTTCCCATTCCACCTTTCCCTTCTGCCATAAAAAAATAATTCCATCCAGAAATCTTTCTAAAGTAATTAATGTAAATGTTCAGAATGGTTACTGAGAACAATGAATGTTTAGATCTAGTGAACAAAAGCTAGAACCTCTGTTGGTGGAATGGCTTGAGACAGATTTTGAGTGATATGTGTGTCTGGGTTTTTTTGTTCTCCACTTCAGCATTGCTTTATTGTTTCAGTTTAGTTGTTCTTTTCCTGATTAATGTGTCTTCCTGCTCTCTCCATCTGTAGCAGCTGTTTCTGTACATTGATACTCTTCACCTTAGTCTCTCCTGGGCTCTGTAAAGCTTTAAAACTATTTTAGCCTAGATTTGAACTTCAAGTGTAGACATTTCATGATACAGTTGTTGGTACAGTAAGCACACATTTCCTCAGTTTTGCTAGCACGTGAACAGTTGCAAACAAAATCCTTTAATCCATCTTACCCTTTTTAGCAATATATAAACTGCTTAGTGTCTTGAGTATTTATGGTTAGTTTAGTTTTTGTTTGACAATATACAGAGTTACTACAGGTTTTAATGTAACTTTTCACAGTTATGTTTAATTAGACCCAGCATTTAAAGTGCTTCCAGGTTAATTACATGTGTTTTAGTGACTCAAATCTGATTAAAGTACAGAATTCTTAAATTGCTTTTTTATTTTCTTTAGGCTGAACTTAAAGTTATCTTTTACCACTTTTAGAGAGAAGTTATTTGTCTGAATAGTGACAAAGAGTAATTCAGCTATATTATACTCAAGTAGACTTCATATATTGAGGACTAGGACCTGATCCTGCAAACCCTTAAATATGTGTGTAACACATGATTATTTTTCCCCAATACTTACTGTCCTTTTTATCTAATGTTTTTTCTGCCACATCCTTACACATTAGATGGGTCCTCATTCCTTCGATGGGACATAAGCTAGATGGGATATCTTTACCTCTCCACTGTTATATCTTTACCCTGACCCTACATGGATGAATTGGAAAACTGTGTCCCCCAAAAAATCTGTAAATTCTCATTGATCGTGGGGAATGCTCATTGCTTTAAGATGAGTTTTATTCTAACAAACCACCAAGTGTAGAACTGGGTAGTTAAGGAAATCTTACAGGTTTTTTTACATGGGATATGTACTTTGTGGCATTTTTGTAATATAAATAATGCAATGAAATGTTTCAGTCTCTGCCAGAGGACAGAGAGGAGTGAGACATGTTGAAGCATGTCAAAAATGATGTGCAATAGCTAAACAGTGTGGGATGCTTACAAGATGCATGCTTATGCTATGACAAAATGGGTTGAGAGCTGTTTCGAGAGATTGCCCATCTCCCTGTGCTGTACTGTCACAGTTTTGATCAGCAGAGATGCTTCAGCTGGAGTGTCCCTCCCCAGTATAAAAGTAGGACGGGCTCTCAACTTTGGAACCACTTCTTTCCTGTGTGTCCACTAGTCCAAAATGGTCTGAATCTGTATAGTGACCTTCTGGGCACATTATGAGGCCTGTCTACCTGGCCTTATGGAGAGGAAGGGACATGATTGTTAGAGTATTGTTTGGATAGAGTATTGTTGGACTTGATCTTTACCAAGTGTTTGACTGTTGGCATGTGGCTGTGAAATATCTGCCAATGTTACTCTTAGCTGAATTGTATTTGTCATTTTGAGAAGACACTCACAGATAACGGAGTTGTTTCTTTTTTAAATTTCGTTCTATAACAATATAGAACAAATAAACTGGCTTTGCCAATAAATTCATCCAGAGTTTGAGAAACAAATATTTTATTTCATGCCTTAGGTCTTTTGGCAGAGATCATGCCAACCAAATACATTGGAAAGGCCTATTCATTGGTGTATCAAGAGAACCTGATGTCTTCTGCATAAGGCTTACTGGTTAAGATAGTAGACTAATCTCACTTGCCTGTTAGGGTAAGAAGCTACAGTGATAGGGAGTTCCTCCTTTGTTAATAGTGTGCACTTTATGTCTTTCATCAGAGATCTTGAAGTGCACTACAATGATAGATGAGTATTAATATTTCCATTTTGCAGAGGAGTCTTCCTGGGAAATGAGAAGTAGACCTGCCCAAAGCATTTCAGTTATCCAGCAGTACAGATAGGAATAAAAATAAAGGATGAAAATGTGGCTCCATTGAAGCCATGCTGGGTCTCCAGAAGCCTCATTCCCTTTTCTAATGACTAGACAAGTTGCTTCCTCTATTTTAAAAAATCACATTTTTATAATAATTTTTCAGCAACAACAAACGAGTGGTTTTCTCTGATGTATCTAATCCATCCCTGGGTCCCTTTACCACTTGGGCAGCATTACTATACAAGCAGCACTTCCTGTTATTTACTGACAGGAGGTGCTGTGCCAGTTCAGTTGCAGGGTGACAGATGGTCTAATTCCTTGCTGAACTAGATTCAGGGTCTTTGTGAGTTAGTTTTTACACCCTTCCTCAACATGTCGATGAAGCTAAGTGGGGGATGAGAGCTATTGTAGTAAAGTCTGAGGCTATTGTAATAAAAATGTGTTTTATGTCTCAGTGGCAGTAAATACACCTTACATTAAAAGATTAATGAAAATGTGTTTCCCCTTTTGATCTTTTAATCCTTCTTTTTTATTTTTAGAAAGCATGAAGAGGAAGCTGACCAAAAATGAGACAGAGGTTTACAGAAGGTTGAAGAACACAGTAGACAGATTTCTGTCCATGAGCAGCTATTCTGAAGTAAACCTTGGCAAACTGTTTCAGACCTTCAGTATAGTGAAATCTGTGGGAGATCCCAGTAATGAAAGACAATGATTAAGTGAAAATGGTGGGAGAAGAGAGGTTTGTTGTCCTTTAAAAATAATAATCTCTCTTTTCTCTTCTGGCTTTCCCATTCTAAAATACAATACTCTGATTTCAGCATACATAAAATACAGATGTGTTTTAATCATCTTAGTTTCTCACTAGTGGAAAAAAACGTAAAGATAAAAACAGAATACAGTGTTTTTCTGGACCACCTGAATAGTTGAGTTTGTTATATATATTTGTTGTATCTAGACCTATGAGGGAAAAAGGGGTGGGGGAATTGCTACTTTAATTGAATAATTCCCAGTGAGAGTTGCTGGAATGTAAGTGATCCTAGACTTTGCTCCAGGGTATTTAGTAGAGGTGCTCTCAAGAAGAGAGGTTAGTAGAGGTCTCAGTAGGAGCACTAATGTTTTGCCTTTTCATAGTTTATCTACTTTCCCATCGTAAACATACCAATTAAAAACAATACTAAACCTAAAAGCCTCCTAATGTCCCAATACCTTCATCTGATGGGAGCTTTGCTTTTAAGATTTATATATAATGGTACTGAACAAAGGATGGCAATTTTATGACTTGTAGTTCCCAAAAATAGAAAACCATTTTTTCTGTTTTAAATGTTATTTCTTTGTACTTAAACATAAGTTATGTCTTGCTATTCTACAGAAATAAATATAAGTAGTGAGCCCACCAAATATACATACCAAGCAAATAGATATCAATCTTTATTGTACTGTACACAAAAAACTCAGATTATATATAAACAGTCAATGACAAATATGTGGGTACAATGCAGTGTAGCCAAAAAATATTAGTGTTATGTCATAAAAAGTTATGGCCATACTAAAGTTGTAATAGTTTTGCAAACAAATCTTATTGCCTGTTTACTGCCAGTAAAATGACAAACACAAATGACAAAATAATTACCATTAAAATTGTCGGCTCTGGAGGAGGAAAAATGTAAGGTTCTTTATACTTTTCAGTAAGTATTAAATTCTTTGTTAGTTTTACTGGGTCATATTTTTGTTAATTTTTTGAAACTATAAAATGCTTTTAAAAATGTGTAACACTATACAATGTAAAGTTTCATATTTCTTGAAGGAAAAAATAAAGTTTTCTAGTGAAAGAAATGTGACTGGATCTGTTATCTATACCAGATACAAGGCGGGATGTGCTAACGCCCAGCCTTCCAGAGAGAGACTGAACATCTACACTGCAATCTTATGCCCCACAGCCCAAATCTGCTGACACTAGCCCTTAGAGTCCATTCCTCTAAATCCAGAGTACAATTTACAGAGGTATATGCATCTCTGCCTTTAAAAAGGTCAGTTTGGTTCAGAGAAAACTAAGGAAAAGGGCTTGAACCTTTTAAAAAAAGTGAGAGTACCAGCACAAACCCACAAGTTACCGAAGATGATTATGATTTAAGTATACGTGTTTATATCATAGTTGTTTATAAAACTGCATCAGTGTGCTCTGGGGTAACCATGGTATTTGTACATATAGATATTGTACGTGTGTGTGTGTGTGTGTGTGTGTGTGTGTGTGTGTGTGTGTGTGTCTCTCAAAGTATACATTTACTTCCTCACAAATGTGGCTAACTCCTGCAAGTTTTACATGCACAAGTAGTCCTAAAGTAAATGAGAATGTACGTATCAACAGTTACCTGTTTAGGGTCAGTATTATTCCATACATCTGGATGCATAAAGCTATGCTACTTGTGTTGTAATGTATGTGACATATTTAGTCTAATCATTGTAACAGATAATCTTTCAGGTATTGTGGTCTGAAATAAGATCTTGCTGCCTGTCTAAATGAAATAACCAAGTTAGAGATCTTTGAAAGATACATTAATCAATAGCCTGTCTTTTATTTCCTGTATATTTTTTTATCTAGTCAAGTTACTATTTGACTTTACCAGTATGAATGGGTAGAATTTTTAGACAAGTAAAAAGTTATTTTTCAAGAAATGTAAGTATTGTATACAAAGTAAATGGTTGTAAAAGGCAAAACCTTTTTCTATGACATTTGTATGTGTCAGCATAATCATTGCTGAAGAATCTATTAGTTTTTACTAGGGTAAGGAGTTAAAATTAAAAGACAGTTGTGGAATAATTGTGAAGAGT